ATGATTATTTTTACGCCCAAATGTGATATAATTAGAAAATACTCAAAGATCGATTTAAGGGGCAATTTAAACACGTTAAATATAAGAGAGTTTCATTAATTTCATTTCAATAATGGTACATCCAATCCTCAAATAAAAAAGGAAAGCAACGTTAGTAGCTTACCATTTAATGCAATTGAAAGTGAAATTCCAATGCCATCCCTACGTGCAATGTTGTTAGAGGTTACATCTAATGGTGAGAAATGGTTCTTTTTTACTCTCCTAAGATTAAGTTCTCACATGAACCTAAATATATATATATATATATATATATATATATATATATATATATTGGCCAAACCCAATTAGGATCTATATAAACAACAAACAAGAAATAGTATTAAACATGAACAAAACACTGGGGTAAAACAACACTAAAAACTTAGTTCAATAAATGCACCATACAAGTAAAACAAATGCATAATACATATTTCACTTTGCAGAAGACAGAAACAGAATACAAAGAGAAATTTCAACAAATATTAAAATAATAATTTTATCTCTTCACGTTAATGGAGCTACAATTCGGCTTCATTCATAATTTATACACAACAGAGAACAAGGGAGTCACATAGAACAAACAAGAAAATTAGACCTAGAAATGAATGGAGGTAAAAAAGATAGTTCTATAGTCAAGCGTGATAGAGAGCCAGCCCTAGGGGAAACCCTAGGCGGCCTTCCCCAATCCTCTTCAAGATCCGATTTTGGAAGATGAAGACATTCTCTATGCAATGAAAGATCGAATCAAAGGTTTTTCTATGCTTTCGCTCTTTTTCAATTTCTATTTTCAAGGAATTTGGTCCGGCTTCTTCATTGGCCGAGAATTTTGTCCGCTTCATGTGAGCGTGTGGTATGTTATTCTCCTAGCAATGTCTAGAGGCTGTGCGTTTCTAATCGGTGTAATCGATCTGGTGAAGCTTTTTCAACCTTGTTGTTCTGATATTTCAAATACTCGCACACCACCTGAACCACCGCCTCACTGTGGGAAGATGATGATGATCAAGCGGATCTCCTTTTCGGTGGCTGGTCAAACCGATGCTTCAAGAAATTTCTACTCGACTGATTTCCCTTTGTTGGTTGTTGGTCAAACCAATTCTACCTTCCCGATGGCTGGTGAAGCCGGATCTTTTAGTTGTAATTTTTTTAATTTCTCTTTGGAGTAGCAAGGAGATCAGCCAGACTGTTAGACTAGACTACATTATTGCGGGGTTAGCGATCTGGAAGGATTCATTGAATCTGTTTTGTTCTATGTCTCATCCCATTGTAGCCTCAGGCTATTCATTCTCTTATATTTTTGCTATCACTTAATAATAAATTAGTTATTTGATTTTCAAAAAAAAAGTGAATGGAGGTAACCTTATCGACGTTTATTTATGAAATTCGTCTATGAGAAGACAGAGGATAACATCAACCTCTAATGCGAACCGATTAAATAAAAAATGCACACGACCAAAATACTCGAGCAACGTCTGATGTTTTTTTCCGTATTAAAGCAGAGTTCATGAAAGATAAAGGAATACCCAATTCCATGGAGTTTGATGACAATGATGGGAGATCATTAACTGCAACAATTCAAAATTTCGATGAAGAAGACAAACGCATAGATGAAAACCATTATCGATCAGAAAGATGGAATGAAAGAAGAAACGGAAAGTAGGCGGTTATGAGAAAGGAAAGTAATAACGAACGTGAATTTTGCTCCATTATAAAAGATGAATGATTGACCAAAACACCCATTACATTTAATTAGTCCGAATTGAGCAATTAACATGACACGGATGGTGATTTGCACTAGATGAATGGCTAGGAATAGGCTTGTAGGTTAGCATATTAAGATGTGTTTGCATTTGATCTCTCATACACACACACATACACACACACACACACATATATAGGGAGCGGATCAGGTGAGAAGTGTTCTTAGGCTGAGAACTGCGAAATTAAACTTATAGACCAAATATATGAACTTTTAACCAATAAATCATAACTTATAGACCCCGCGAAAATAATTACGAAACTGCCACCGCAAAAAAGTAATTACGGAAATCTGGAAAAAATTTGACGTGGTGGCATTTTCGTAATTATTATGTAGAGCTTTATAAGTTATGATTTATTGGTTATAAGTTCCCATATTTAGCCTATAAGTTTAATGCGTTGTAAGATGAGATGCAAATCCAAGGGCTGAGATTACTTCTCACTTCTCATTTTAAGGGACACTTCTCACCTGATCTTTTCTATATATATATATATATATATATATATATATATATATATATATATATAGAGGGCTCTTCTCATCAGGCCGGCCTGACGGGCTGCCCCGTCCGGCCGAGCCCGTTTGGGCACCTTCCCGGTGGAATTTTTTGATGAAATTTTTTGAGCATGTTCCTCGTCAAGTCTAGTTTGTCCATACCAAATTTCAGCTCAAAATTCGATCGGGAAGGTCGTCAAATGATTTTTGCAAGTTAACTGGTCTGGAAAATACATATTCCGGACCAGTTAACTTGCAAAAATCATTTGACGACCTTTCCGATCGAATTTTGAGCTGAAATTTGGTATGGACAAACTAGACTTGATGAGGAACATGCTCAAAAAATTTCATCAAAAAATTCCACCGGGAAGGTGCCCAAACGGGCTCGGCCGGACGGGGCAGCCCGTCAGGCCGGCCTGACATGAAGTTTACTATATATATATATATATATATATATATATATATATATATATATATATATATATATATATATATATATAGGGAGCGGTTCCGGTAAGAACGGATCTTAGGAGAAAAATGAGAACGAATCTGGACCGTTGGATTGAATTATGTGGAACTGAATTGTGCATTTGGTGAAACCGAAATGTGCATTAGATGATATTGAAATATGCAAAATAAACATTTAAACTCACATGTGCATAAGGTGAAACTGAAATGTGCAGAATAAAAGGTACAAAAATAACATCACATCGTACCTTTTTTTCTGCACATTTTAGTTTCATCTAGTGCACATTTCAAGTTCACCTAATGCACAATTTAGCTTCACATAATGTCACTACATTGTACCTTTTGTGCTGCACACTTCAATTTCACCTCATACACATTACAGCTTCATCTAATGCACATTGAATTTCACATAAAACAAATCTAACGGTCCAGATTCGTTCTCATTTTTCTCATATGATCATGTTCTTATTTGAACCAAAACCTATATATATATATATATATATATATATATATATATATATATATATATATATATATATATATATATATATATATAAAACATAATGAGGTCTTTAATGATACATGTGATGTTATAAGTGTTTATTTATAATATTTGATAATTAATTTGTCATTTAAGAGTGTTATCTATTTTCTAAAATAGAAATGGAAAACTTTAACTGAGACAAAAGAGACAAGTTAGTTAGAAATTTAAACTGATATTGAGGGAAGATCTTTTTGTCTATTCCTTGGCCCTTTTTCATGAATACTAATAGATAAAATTCAAAAATCTAAAATATGACTTATTTTAAAATTTCCCAAAAAAGCGACAATGACTAATTTCCAGTGACTAATCATCTACCAGTACTAATCATCTACCAGTGACTCATCACTCTAAAAGACACTATAATGACTCTTGTCCAGCTACCATACACAGGGACTAGTGATATTTTTGTCCAAAAAATATAGGTAGTCATAATTTTATCCGGGAAAACTCTGTTAGTAATATATATATGTCATTTTTTCTTATTTCTTTCATATTAGTTAGGGTTGGTTTGCAACTCCTTTTAAAAAAGCACTTCTCAGCTTTTGGCTTTAAAAAAACACTTATTTTCCCAAACACTACAACTTTTATTTTTCTCGGCTTCCGCGTCAAAAGTGCTTTTACTTTTTCTATTACACAAAAAACACTTATTTTACCAAACACTACCCACTTTTACTTTTCAAAATCACTTTTTTCTCAAACACTATCAACTTTTATTTAATCACTTCTCCTCATTTCATTAAAAAAAGCACTTTTTTAAAAGCAGAAGCTGTTGCAAACAGACCCTTAGTATAGTAATCTTAAGACTCAACCACTTAGAAAATAAGAGTCCGTTTTCTTTTCTATCTTCCATTCCCCAATTTTCTATTTTAATTTTCCAGTTTTTCTATATGACTATATCTAATTTTTTGTTTTCATTTTACAGTTTACAATTTTCAAATATGAAAACATATTTATCAAATTATTTCACTCGGTTTTGAGGCCGGGCGGAAGACCGAAAGTACGACCCCGATTCGGAACCAAATCAGTACAACCCAAGTAGGGTACCCGGTCTCAAGTATAGGAAAGTGGGGACCGAAACTGACAGGTCCCGGCTGATCCCAAAAGCTAGTTTAACTATTTTTTTCCCTTTTACCTACCGGTTCACTAGACAATTACCCGAGTTCTGACTCTTCACTTTGAAAAAATAATTAAAAAAATGGGGACCGTACGCCGGGTTGTTGACCGGAGTGGACAGGGACTACCAGGTCATTGTCCAAAACGGCCCGAGACTGCCGGGTCATTAACTGAACCGACCCGAGACCGCTTAGTCATTGACCGGACTACCCGATTGTTGACCGGACCAGACATGTACCATCGAGTCATTGACGAGACTGGGCATGGACCATCATGAAGCTGATCGAACTAGACAAGGACCGCTGGGTCATGGACCCGATCAGACCGCGACCGCCATGTCATCGACCGGATCAGACATGGACCGTCAGGTTATGGACCGGACAGGGACCGCCGGGTGGTCAACCTAACCGGACAGGGACCGTTGGGTCGTTGATCGGACATTTGGACAGGACCACTGAGTCATTCACCAAACCATATAGGGACCATCAGATCGTTGACTGGACTACACCCAACAAGAACTGAGATTGCAACATCCGCGTATTTCAAATTTGTAAGCTAGTAAAACTCATTTATCCAGTTCATTAATAAAAAAGAAACCATATCTCATTTTTTGGTTTGGATAATGATTTGGTAAGAAGTAAACAGCCCCTATATTTTGAAGTTTATTCCGGGCGGGGTAGGCGGGTAGGAACCACTGTGCTAAACCGGATCCACAGCATTCATACTCTCCTATCCACGGAGGTTGCAGCCATGGCTTCACACGTCTTGCCTACGACCCGAGTTATGCTTCCATTACCTAAGTCACTACGTCTGGCATCACTGAGTTCATTTCATGCTCCCAAAGTTTCTCTGTCTACCAGCTTTTTCTCCCCCTTCGCCGGCGGCAATTTACGTTCGGATTTTCCGGGTCATAAGATAGTAAGACCGGATTACCTTAACCCGTCTCCTGCTAGCTCCCGCCCTAAACGCGGCGTTGTCACTATGGTATCTCCACAAACTTGCTACATGTATTGTTCACGTTCTACTTGTCGTTTATGGTTAATTGAACAAATATTATGAAATTATGTGTCAATTTCCTTACATTATTTGTGCACTCTTAATGCAAAGGGTGCAATTGTTTGAGTAAAGAGAAAAGTGGTCATGCAGTAAACTGTTCATACTTGTGAAATGAAATGACAAACTTGGAATCATTCATTTCTCTGATTTTTGAGTATTGCACTTGACAATGATTAGCTTTGCTATATTGAGCTAATTCATATCGTTTTTTTTGCTGCGGAGAATACAACGTATTATATGCCTGTTTAGATGCTCTTTTGGCAATGTGTAGTTACTTTAGGACTTCTATCTATGACGGAAACAGAAGACAACAAATGACGATGAAAGAAGAAATGAATTGTTAGTAAATAAGTGAAACACAATATGAAATGCCTTAAAAACTGTATAATATGATTGATTAAGAAAGTGGTGGTGTGGTGCAGTTAAATGACTTGCATGATGCTTTATGTGTTAGAGCTCCAACAAAACTAGCACTGTTTTCAATTTCACATTACTTATTGTTGAGAAAAAAGTTTTCTGATTTCCAAAGAAGCATTTGTAAATGTAATCCCAAAATGTTTTTCCTTATTTGAGCCAATTGGGTCCATTTATTCTCTTTTTATTACGTGTTGCTACGAAAAATACATTTTTAAGCTCCTATATTTGGCGTGATGGCCAGTTGGCCATATGATGCCCTTAACTTTTAACTGGATCTATCAAGCACGACATTTGTAAAGTTCAGCACTGTCAAACCCCCTTTTATCTTCATCCAGTTTGTCTTTATCATGTAACTTCACCTACATTAGGTTTTGATTACAGTATCAATTTAGTTCATTGGCCCCATTTGGCCCTAGTGTTTCAACTGGGCATGTTTACAGTCAAGCATGTTAGCCACAGCAGGCTCAAATCCCTATTAGAGCAGTCCAAAGAATAAATTGTTATTTCGGAGGGGATAAAGTTTAGTTAAGGGGGTCCAAGGTAGTCAAAAGCGAGCGCCTGGGCGCTTAAGTGCACCAGGCGCAGCGCAAATGAGGTTTAGCGACTGAAGCACAGAAGTTTAGAAAAGCACTCGCTTAAGTCGCCGGGCTGGGAAAGGCTTATCAGCCTTTTTTTTTGTTTGATCCTACTTTAAATAATCAGCCCATACTGATAATAAGATTTAGTCAGTCCAAATAATAAGTAAATACAACTTAAACCCATATAAAACCCTTCTTAGTCGTGGGAAAAGTCTTCCATCTTGAGTCTTGACTTCATCGTGACTCTCCAATGTGCTATGTGCTCTACTTGCACAACATGCTAAGCACTGAAACACATTCAACGAACCCACAGAAACCCATGAAGTGTCTTTTTCATCATCATCTTCCCATGTTCTTTCTTTCTTTTTCAGCTTGTGGTTTTTATTTATTATGTCATCTTCTTGGTGATCCTTTCCTTTTATTCTTTCAGTCTATCTTCTTTCTTTACTTTTATCAGTTCCAGACTTCCAGTCATCTATGCGCACTTTATAGTTCTTTTTTGCTTCTAATATATTCTATACAACTCAAACATATTATATGTACCTGACTACCAGTTTACATTATATGTACTCTATTTTATTTTATCTTATTATACAGTCTATAACTCTATATCTTCCTATTATCATTTCATATTTAACTGTATAAAAACTTCATATATCTAACTCAGTTAATAGTTTCATACACTATATAATTTATGATATTCCTAGTGCTAAAATTGCAAACAACAAAGACAGACCCCACTTTTTTTTTGTGACTAATGACTTTATTTTGGTGAATCATGATTTTACTTTTTTGAAACATAACTTTTTGATGCATTTAGTTCAATATGATGTTGAATATGTCATATTTGATCACCCTAGAATAGTATCCATAATATTTTCTAGATAGTGAGCTTGACCCGAGGCAGGCGAGCGCTTTTTTGCGCCTTGCGCCTCAGGCGATACAAGTGCTCTAGCGCCTTAAGTGCGCCTCGCGACTTTGACTACCTTGAGGGGGTCAATTTGCCAAGTTTAGGAGATTATAAATGTATTTCTCTGTTGCTCCATCTTTGATTGGCTTGTTATCATTTGCCATATTACATGCCTAATGTAGGATGTATGAATAATTGATTATCCACATTTTGTAAACAGGTTATTCCTTTCTCAGAGGGAAGTGCTTCTGACCAACCTCCTCCAGATTTAGCGTCTTACTTTTTTGAGAATCGAATTGTTTATTTAGGCATGACTCTGGTTCCTTCTGTGACTGAATTAATAGTAGCAGAATTTCTATACCTTCAGCATGAAGATGCAGACAAACCAATTTTCCTTTATATTAATTCCACTGGGACAACTAAGGTATGGTATGGTGGATTTATTGACATTTTTGTGTGTGATTCACTCCATGTTTTATGTTTTTTTTTGTTTAAAAAGAGAGAGTGTGATTTCAAAAGGCAACTTGAATGTTTAAGTAAATCCGGTAAAGTAATGCGGTAAGTGTTTTTTGTCAATTACTCAATGCATTCTTGCAAATAACTTTTAATGGTACACAAGTGACCATTCATAACTTGTAAAAGCGTGTACTTTGAAAATGTTCCAGAAAATGATAAGACTATTTGTTATAGGGTACTCTATTGTGGCTGTCTCTGTTTCCTGCATTGGTAGCTTTATTTAGCTTTATTGAGGTAGGAAAACAGCTAACGCCTTATATACTGATAGGAACCAGATTTGGAAAAGGGAAGATAAGCGTAGATAGATATGAATGTACTGAAACAGAAAAAGAAAATTACAGATTGAGACTCTTCAAGAGGCCTCACTCTCCTGCTTCGCAGCCCAATCCTAATTTTTGCCTACCTTTATTCTATTCCCAGCTCCTATTTATAATTTTTTTCCTTATGGGCCGGCCCACACCTCCCCAATGAATTGCAATGACTTGCTCCAAGTTTGCCTCACGACTAGGATGCATTTTCTTAATCGTGTCAATAAAAGACTGCATCACATTTTCCCCTAGTTCATGCTTATGCTTGGGGTCCTTGTTGTGTTGCTGCAATTACAAGTCTTTTTTAACGTGTATTGATGATTTCTCTCATTGCACATATGTTTTTCAAACGTGAGGTTGCGTTGAGATGCTTCTTGCAAAACAACAACAACATCCAAGCCTTATTCCCAAAAGATTTTGGGGTCGGATAACATGAATCGATCCATGATATCAAAGCCAAAAAGAGAAGAAAGATAAAAATAATAAAAAGATCAAATAAGATAAAATGAATAGGGAAAAGTGTCAAATAAGCCTTCTTACTATTACAGAAATTTCAATTAAGCCCACCAACTCAAATATCATCCAATTTAACCCACGAACAATGAAAAACGTGGCAAATCGGTTTTCTAGTATGTATCCTTCCGGTTCACGGTTGAAATTACGTTTGTGGCATCTGATGTGGCATAATTTTTTTTTATTTTTATTTTTCTTTCCTTTTTTCTTTTTCTTTCTGTTCTTTCTTCTTTCTCTCCTGCTCCCTTCCTTTTCTTTTTCTTTCATTGTTTCTCTTTCCCGTCCATTTTCTTTCTTTCTCTTCCGAGACCAGTTTCTTCTTTGCACGGTCGCACCCATCTGGTCAATGTGTCTCCTCCGAATCCGAGCAGCAACGTCCTCTGAGCCACAAGAACTTCATCATGCTTGCCTGGTACATCGTCTCCAGATCCAACCCCAAATTGACACCGCAACGCTCCGTCCTATGCAGGACTTACATCGTTCGTCATATGCGTCTATGTACTGCGACGGGAGATACAAAATTGACAGCAACGACAATCGCTGGAACCTGGCTGAAGACTTTGTTGCAGTAGAAGATGGAGACATTTTGTCAGGAAGTATATTATGATGGGAAGAAAAGAAAAATTAAAATTAAAATCAAAAGCCAGCCATAGCTTACCTGGGATTCTGGGAGCGGATGAGAAAGCTAACAAGTGTAGGGGAGAGGAGAGGATTGAACAAAATAGGGTGAAAGGAAGAAAGAGAAAAAAGAAAATGATAAGTTGTGCCACGTGTCGCCACATATACATATTTATCAGAGATTTGGTGGTTAACCTATTAAAAAACTGATTTGAATTTTTTTTAAAGTTGAGGTATTTAATTGGATGATAATTGAGTTGGCGGGCTTAATTGACATTTTCGTAACAGTAAGGAGGCTTATTTGACAGTTTTTCCAAATGAATAAGATAAAGATAAATATAAGATAAAAATAACATAAGAACATAAGAAAGATAAAAGATAAAAAGATAAAAGAGCATAAGAAATATAAAAATAACATAAGAACATAGAAATATAAAGAAGATAAAAGATACAAGAAAAAGAGAGTGAAAAAAGAGAAGAGATTAATCGTCCACACGGATATGCGCCCTTCACTTTGCTCTCGCCAAAGCCATACTATCTTCCAACCCAAGAAGAAGCATATCAGTTCTGATTCCTCTAATCCAAGTTTGTTTGGGTTTTCCTCTCCCTCTCCTCCCCGTCTCTTCTCCCCACCTCTCAAATCGTCTCACAGGCGCATCACTTGGTTTTGTGCGCACATGACCAAACCAACACAATCGAGACTCCTACATCTTATCTTCTATAGGTGCCACTCTCACTTTTTGTCTGATGTCTCATTTATCAAGCGGTCTTTTCTGGGATGCCCAAACATCCAATGCAACGTACACATCTCTGTCACACTCATCTTTTGAATGTGACATTTTTTCACCGCTCAACACTCCACGTCATACATTAATGCAGACCTAATTGCTGTCTGATAAAATTTACCCTTGAGTCTGGTCGCCATACCTTGATAACATAGAAATCCTGATGCACTCTTCCTTTTCATCCACCCTGCTCTGATTTTGTGGGATACATCTCCATCTAATTTACCATTCTTCTGAATTATGGAGTCCAAGTAACAGAATATATCACACATTGGTATCTCATTGCCATCAAGGTTAATCCCACTACTACTACTACTTCTACCTCCACCAAACTTGCACTCCATATACTCAGTCTTGCTTCGGCTCAGTCTGAAACCCTTGGTCTCCAATGTTTGTTGCCATATTTCCAACTCTTGTTTAACACCGGATTGCGTCTCATTAATCAATACAATATCGTTGACAAATATTGTAGATTATTGCAGAGATAATTCTAATTAATCACCCGATTGAGCATTTATGGGAAGATATCCTGGAGATCTCAGAATCTCTAAATATCCCCATATATCTTTTCTTTATTAGAAAACCTTAATTAGGAGGATTCCTTCCTTATTTTACTTTCTTCTCTGGCTATATATTATGTAGTTTTCTCCTTGTATTACACAGAACAAAATAATAATATACATTCTACTTTCAGAGCGTGGTTATTCTAAATATGATTAAGTTTGGATCCTATGGGATGACCACCGAGAGAGATGGATCTATCTCAGTCACCTCTGAACATTCAAAGGCTGTCCCAACTGGAGATGGCAACAACCAGAATATCAATGGAAGCACAGTCACCACTCCTAATCAATCAGATTCGATTATTACTTGCCATAAACTCAATGGTAGTAATTATCTACAATGGTCCCAGTCCGTTATGATGTACGTGTGTGGAAAAGACAAGGAGGACTATTTGACAGGTGATGCACCTGCTCCGGATCAAAGAGATCCAGGCTACAAGAAGTGGAAAAAGAGAACTATACTGTGATGTCATGGCTCATCAATTCCATGACAACCAGTATAAGGGAAAATTTCCTACTCTACAAAACAGCTAAATAGATTTGGGAGGCTGTGAAAGAAACCTACTCAACCTCAGATAACACTTCTGAATTACTTGAGGTTGAATCAATGCTATATAACCTTTAGCAGGGAGAATTGAGTGTAACTCAATACTTTAACAACCTTATGAGACTCTGGCAGCACCTTGATGTGTTTGAGACATACAGTTGGTCATGTTCTAAGGATAAGAAGTTATATCAAGAAATATGCGAGAGGAAGAGTCTTCAAATTCATGTCAGGCTTGGACAAGAGTCTAGATGAGGTTAGGGGTAGAATAATGGGAAAGAAATTCACCCTTAGAGAAGCCTTCTCAGAAGTCAGAAGAGAAGAAAGTAGAAAGAAGGTAATGATGGGTCTAAAATCTCAAGGCCAACAACCAAGCATTGAAGGGTCAACCTTATATACCTCTTCCAGACAGAATGAAAACAAGAAAAAGGGGAGGCATGGTGTGATCACTGTAAGAAACCAGGCCATACTAAAGAAACATGCTGGATTCTGCATGGTAAACCCCAAGATTTCAAACCAAGCAAAGAGAAAGGAGCCTATGTAGCTACTGGAGATAAAGAAGATATGGGCACTTCTAACTCTGCTGCATTTACCAATGAGCAGATTGAGGTTCTGCAACACCTAATAAATCAGAACAAAGGGCCTACACCACCAACTAGCTTTACTGCCCAGACAGATGATGCTTCAACAACCCTAGTTGCTCAAAGTCAGCCCCATTGGATTGTTGATTCAGGGTCATCAGACCATATGACTGGAGACAGTAAGTTTTTTGCTGGTTTGATCCCTATGAAGAATAATGTGACTGTGAAGATTGCTGATGGAACTACTTCAGCAATAAAAGGGATTGGAAGAGTCAAAATTTCTGATAAGGTAGTGCTTAAAAATGTGTTATATGTTCCAGATTTAAAGTTTAACCTCTTATCAGTCAGTAAACTGAACAATGATACCCTTTGCCTAACTAAATTCTCTTCTCAATTGTGTGAATTTCAGGATTTGGATTCGGGGAGGATGATTGGTAGTGCTAAGCAAAGTGGTGGACTCTATCTTCTGGAACATTCACCACATTCACCAAATTCTACCAACAAGACAACTTCCAGTGAGAGTCAATTCAACCATAAGTTCTTATGACATTATCGTCTTGGTCATCCTAATGTCTTGTACTTGGAAAAAAATATTTCCTTCATTATTCATCAATAAAAGTTCTACTTTTGATTGTGAATTTTGTCAACTTGATAAACATATAAGAAGTCATTATCCCAGTCTACCTTACAAACCATCCAAATCATTTTCTCTCGTCCACAGTGATGTTTGGGGGCCATCCAAGGTCAAAAATCTCTCTGGTTCAAAGTGGTTTGTTTTGTTTATTGATGATCATACACGCTTAACCTGGGTCTTCCTCATGAAAGAAAAGTCAGAAGTCAATATTATCTTTCAAAGATTCTATTCTATGATCAAAACCCAGTTTCAAACCAAGATTCAAGTTCTTAAAACTGATAATGCCAAAGAATATTTCTCATCCAACTTAGGAGATTTTCTGTCAAAACAGGGGGATTATACACATTAGCTCTTGTGTTGAC